AGCATTTATCCAGTATATTAAGACCTAAAAAGTATTGCATAATAGGAATCACCTAGCATTTATCGATGAGAATCCCATAGGCTATGTCCTGGGGCACAACTCATTTTGCTTGAGACATAATTTTAGTCATAATTAATTACAGAAACAAAGCAAGGAAAAACACATGGCACTTGATTAACACGTGGGTTCAGAGCAGCAAACGCAGTCGTGGTGAATTCACAGAGCTGACGTCTATTACGCACACCCTAGAGCTTAATTTGCGCATTTACCATTAGAACCGATAAGCGAATTCGCACTAAACTCGATTTATAAGTCTGAAAGCAATTCACTTACCTTCGTCATGCATTCTCTGCAGGCAAAAAGTCAGGTTTCTCCTCCAGCTTGGCATGGCAAATAACTAAGAGTAATGCGTAATGCGGAGAGAGGCGGAAACAGCACGCGGCCGGAGATGTGTCGGTGGTCAGGTGTATCGTGGACAGATCCTGTGGTGTTTATGCAGTGGTCCATGAGCGGGCATCAGCTGTCACTCCTGAGAGCGCAGCGCAAATGACTCACGAGTGTCACCGCCTCACCAAAGTGTGTGAACTCGTGGACCACCAGAACGCTCTCAGATCCACACAATATGCCACAGCAAACTCATTAACCCTTACCTTCTGATGGGCTCGGAGAAGTACACATCCTACCGTTCGAGCCGCTACTGAATAATTAGCATATTCATACACCACGGGTTAGTTTACATATACTCCAAGGTACTGTATGGTGTGTAGATGGTAGGCTGCTTTGTTAGTAGAAAGATCCTTTGACGTTTTAATTGGCTAAGCATATTTCTGTTCTTAATTTTAAGAGAAAATTCTCAACTTTTTGAAATGATAAAACTATATTTTGCATACATTTGATTTGTTATATATTGTGATATAATGAATGAAGCACACCGCCTGTCTTCAACATATTTGTACTAATTTCAGTTTAAATGCAATAAAATACATTATTTTTAATGATTTAGATTTATTTGAAAACTATTTATATAAAACATTTATTTTTGTTTTATAACACTAATATTATATATTTTATATATAATAGAGTATATTTTTGTTGCATAAAGAAATCTTAAAAATTTGAATGACCATGAAGCACATTCCTAGTAAAAGTGAGAATCATCTTTGCATTTTTAAATTAATATCATCTTAAGACAGTTAAAAATACTACTTTTTTTTTGTTAATATCACCTTACAAATAGCCCAACAAATGTTACAAATAAATTATGAATTAATAATTAAATTATATAATAAATTTTAATCAATAATTGACATAATTCATATATTTTTAAATATTTATTTAAAAAATATATTATTATTTTTATAAAGAATATTTGTTGTTATATATTGTGATAACATTTTAATGATAATGAAGCACATGCCCTAATGTAATAAAGTAAAAGTGGAAATCATCTTGCCCAAACGTTTGCTCCAATTACATTTTATAAATGTAATTATATAATTCATAATTTTTTTTAAATATACTATTTAATTAACTTGTATATCCAAAATATTTGTAATTATTTTTATTATTTAAAAATTGCTTTATATAAAAAAATGTCATTATTACCATAAATTAGAACATTTTTAATATTAAAGGAATGAGAATTAGAAGTAAAAAAGCTTAATAAATACATACATACATACGTCACAATGCAAAAAAAAAAAAAGTTCAGTGCAAGTATTTATGCAAAATATGGTAACAAAAAAAAAAAAATACAGGGTTTAAACTTCAGCAATATCAGTCTGCAAATTTTGATTTGGTAATTGGAGCAACAGAATCTAAAAGAAAAATGGGAACTCTGTACTGAAAAATGGTGAAATGTACTGAAGATGAGTGATTTGGCTCCTGTAATATGAGTTAGAAACTTGTCAGAAGTGCTAAGTCGATGTGTAACCCAGTGTGTGAAAATACGCATTTCTCAAAACAATCAATCAACCTGTTATTCTAAGTGACACTTCACTTGCGCTTGTGAGAGGCTGGAACACATTTGGAGTTTTTTTCCCCCCATTCCAGATGCAAACTCATAACTGGAGGCTGAGGGAGGGTTGGCAGGCCTCTGTGCTGATCTCCTGAACCCTTGGGCAACTCTGCCAAATCTGTAGCCGAGGCATAATTTAATATGACAGTAATGGAAACAACTGCCATAGCACGTTCACGCTGGATGTTTAGATGGCATGTTTATTTGACAGATTTTGCAGGTGATGCCAACCGTTTCACTCATGGTTTGGTTGTTTTATGGTGCTCCAGGTATTGCAATTTGAAATATGTTGCAAAGTCAACATGAAACGCTGTTTGCAACCATTTATTCCTATGCTCTCATGGCAATTTGTAGCTATTTTATGTTTTGGCAAATTGGTGGATAATTCGTATGGATTTGTAAAATTTTTATTCATACCATTTCATACGACCTTTGATGGTTAGGTTTAGGAGTGGATGGTCATGCTTTTTTCTGAACAATAAAAAAAACGCACGTACAGATCATACATTTGCGTAATTAGCGTACACTTCACTCCCATATGTATGCGATTCATATGGAAGCTTATTTCCGCCACAGAATAAAAATATAAAAGTTTATTGCGAATTATTCTTGTAATTGCGAGATTATATCTCACCATTTGGACTTCTTTCTCAATTGCGAATTTATATCACCCAATTGCGAGTTCACAAGTAGCAATTCTGAATTGTAAAATCAGAATTCTGTGAAATTACATCTCGAGAAAATTGTAGCGCTCCAAAAAAATAAAAAATAAATAAATGCAATTTATAAAAATTAAAAAGATGTTTTTGTAGACTTTTTAGTCTTGAGTGGATCAGTGTGCGGTTAGCCACCCTCTTGCTCATTTGTGAAATTACATCTTGCAATTGTTATGAACTCACATTTCTAACTTTTTTCTATGAATTCTGGGTTTACATATTGCTGTTAATAACTCGCGATTCTTAATCGAGACTTAATTGAAAGTTTATGACTCGCAATTGTGAGAAAAACAGTCTAATTGTGCGATGAAATGTTGCATTCTGGTAAAAATTTACGAATAACAAAAGATATTTTGAAAAATGTTGGTAACCAAACTGATGCTAATTGCACAAAATTGTACGAATTGTACGAATTTGTATTTTATTTTACGAGGTGCCAAATTCATAGGAATTCATACGAAGGACCACCCCTAACTCCGCCCCTAAACTTACCCCTCACACAAATCGCACAAAAACGTACAAGCAAAGTCGTACGAATTAGCCACCTCGTAAAATACATACGAATTGGTGGTGGGATAGTGTTGTATATACTCAAAATACATTCTTTATAACCATTATATTGTATGTAATTAAATTGTAGACAACATAATTTAATGAAATTATTACGAAGAAGAAGAAAACAAGTTAGTTATAGTTTAATATAGAAAACTTTATTCTTCAGTGGTCGTGTTGGTCTTGAAACACCATTGCGGCCAATATATTTGGACCAGCTTTCATTTATCAACTTTTTTTTTGAATTATTTCTTAACATAATCGACATGTTAAGAATTTTTACAAATAATACAAATCAGCTCAAACATCCTGTTTGGAAATGAACCAATGGAAACGATCTAAAAAAAAAAAATCAGGGAAAGGTTGAAAACCAAAACAAAATTTCATATCCGCTCCGCCGTATGGGAGTGAGATGCACTTTTAATGTTCAAGAAAAGTCTTTGAGGGCAGAACGATGTCTGATTGGAGGTGTGAGAGAGGAGACGGGCTTCACTGCTCGTTCTGCTGGCTGTCTGTGATGGAGCTCACGGCCCCCTGGCCTTTGTTGACGTCACTGATACAAGCCCACTGTCCATCCACTGACTCCTTCCACAGGGTCACCTATGCGCAAAAGTCAATTGGAAGCATAGTAAATGACGTGCTTTTCAATTTTGGTTGAACAATCCCTATAAAAACACCAGCAGGTTAGACGTCAAATTTACAGTTAATATCACAGTGATTTAAGTGAGCGTTTTATTTGTCATTAAACTAATTTGATTATCTATTCTTTAAATAGTTCACTCAAAAAAGATTATTTGCTTAATGTATTCACTCTCAGACCATCCAAGATGTAGACGAGTTTGTTTCTTCGTCAGAACAGATTTGGAGAAATTTAGCATTTCATCACTTGCTCACCAATGTATTCTTTGCAGTGAATGGGTGCCGTCAGAATGAGAGTCCAAACAGCTGATAAAAACATCACAATAATCCACAAGTAATCCACACCACTCCAGTACATCAGTTAATTTCTTACAAACGTATCTTTGCACTTTAAAAGATGGACTGGAGTGGTGTGGATTATACTTGTGGATTACTGTGATGTTTTTATCAGCTGTTTGGACTCTCATTCTGACGGCACCCATTCACTGCA